ACCGCCCAGCACCCTCGTTCTCGCCCCACAGTAACGGGCTCACGCTCAGGGGGAGGCATTTAGAACGTGTCGCCCCAAATCGTCTCCTTAAATAGAAACGCTTTCATGTCTAGCTCAGGGCGCGGAGCCCAGAGTGGGATCCAGGCCCCAGGCCCTCTGAACGCTCCGTGTACGGGACACGAACACCAAAATGAACGTCCGCCCCTCTCCTCTCACACGCGAGGGTTCAGCGAATATCTGAACACGGTGATGCCCACCGGACTCGCCCCGTAAACGTCTCTGAGGAAACAGCTCCAGGCTCAGCCTCCTGTGAACATCACGGACCGGTTACCGGAGGCCGACAGACAGTGAAATGCCACAACGGCTCCTGCTGCCTCCCTGACGACTTACACGGAAGTAAAGCCCGCACAATGCTTTCTAAGGCAGTGTCATGGACCTAACTGACGTTCACGCGACAGAAAATCAAAACGGTTTTCTGTTCACTACTCAGTTCACCCAAAACGTCCATTACCCAAACCTATGTCACGTGGCTCATCAGCTTCAGGGAGTTCTTCACGGCTCTCGGGGCGAGTCCAAGATGGGGGGTCTCCTCTGGGGGGAGTGTCTGTTCTGCGGAAGGAGACACGTGCCGACGAGCGAAACCACACTCGGCCCGGCCGCGTCGTTAATGCCGGAGGAAGCCTGGGGCGCAGACACACGGGGGGTGGCGTGGGTTCGCGGCGTCACAACGGGAAAGGCCCTTTGACGACATGAGTCCAGGGGGGCTCTGGGTGAGGACTCGCAGCTGTCAGCACCCTGCCCACCGCTCGGAGGGACAGCCCGATGAGCCCAACGCAGGACCCAGGGCAGGTGGCGACAGCAAGAGTCAGAACGGACGACGAGACGGGAACACGGCTTCGACCGAGAAAGGGGCACCCAGCCCGGTCCCCACAGCAGGAGGCCAGTCCCATTGCCCCGCGCTCCGCGCTGTGGGTGCTCACGCAGAGGAACCCCCGTTCTCCGTCACTGACGGCAAAGCCCCGCACAGGCACGGCGCGAGAAACGGGAGCTCCCCGGACAACAGGCCACGCCGTCTGAAGATGTTTCATTAAAACAGCACTTTGATCAGAAGGGACTGAGCCCGGCCGGCGTGGCTCAGGGGTTGAGCATCGACCTAGGAACCAGGAGGTCAGGATTCATTCCCGGTCGGGGCACAGGCCTGGGTTGTGGGCTCGATCCCCAGTGGGGGACCTGCAGGAGGCAGCAGATCCATGGTTCTCTCTCATCATTGTTCCTCTCTCTCTCTCCCTCTCCTGTCCTCTCTGAAATCAATAAAAATAGGTATAAAAATAAAATAAAACACGTTTCTCCTGCAGCGTCCCTGTCCCCTCCCCTCACAGCTGGCATTTTTCAGAGAGAGCTCAGCCCGGGGCGCGTGGGCAGGTTTCACACCAGGTCCGTCTGGTACGGGGTGACGCTCGGCCGAGAGGCGCACGCGAAACGCACGAAACCGGGCTCAGAAGGAAACAGGCCCCCGACCCCGACAGGAGAGCCCGCCCCGGGTGACGGCTCGTGTTCAGAAAGAGCGAGAACCCCGGGCTCCCCCGCAGCCGGGAGGGCGACTCACCCACGACGTCGAGGTGGTAGGTGTGGTTGATGGAGCCGCACTCGTTCTCCACCACGCAGGTGTAGTTGCCTTTGTCGGACGGGACCACGCTCTCCATGATCAGGCTCCAGTGCTGGCTGCGCACCTGCAAGGCCAGAGCAGAGGCGGTCAGTCAGCCGCGGCCTCGGCACAGAGCGCCGGCACGGGGTTCTTGATTTAAATTGTCGGGGGGAGGGGGCGGGTTGAGAAAGGTCAGGATGTCCTGAAGCTGCCCGGCCGGCCTGGCTCAGGGGCTGAGCGTCCACCGAGGAACCAGGCGGTCAGGGTTCGATTCCGGTCAGGGCACAGGCCCGGTTGTGGGCTCCATCCCCAGTGCGGGGCGTGCGGGAGGCAGCCGGCCCATGATCCTCTCTCATCATGGATGTTTCTCTCTCTCCCTCTCCCTTCCTCCCTGGAATCAGTAAAAATGTATTAAACAAAAGAAAAAGCATCTCCTGAACCCTAACTGCCCTCACGCGAGCACGCAGACGGTGACCAACGGGAACAACGGTCACAGTGGTGAATGGTGAGCAGCGAACACGTGTGTTTGGACGCCCAGGCGTGTGGGCGTGAGTCACTGACACAGGTCCGAGGGCTCCCCGAGTCGGGGCCCTGAGCGCCACCTGCAGTGCCCGTGCCCAGGGACAGTGCACCCCCAGCTGGCCCACCCGCTCGGCCCCAGGGCACCCAGGACCGTCCAGGGCCCCCCGAGCCACCTGCACACCAGGCACGGCCCTGAGCCCCGCCCTTCCCCCAGGAGGCCACACGCAGGCCCTGGCTCTGCGTCTGCAGCCTCTGGTTCGAGCACCTCCCATTTCCCCCACGGCCCCCAACGGGGTCTGGAAGCCTCCAGAACGTTCCGCTCTCCTCGCTGGCGGGAGCTGAAGAGATGCTCCTGCTCCTGAGAAACAGACGCAGAATCCGAACCCGGAGCCGGAGCCGTGGCGCCCGAGGCACTGGCAGTGCACTCCCCAAGGGCCTCAGAGATGACACACACAGGAAGCACGTCGCCACGCTCCTGCCCACAGGCGTCCATGCGCAAACAGACTGCTCCCTGCTGCTCCCCCCGCTTTCACACACGTGAACAGACTCATGTGAACAGACTCCCGAGGACCCAGCACACCCCCACGTCAGGCTCCAGCACGTCTCTCCCTCCCACATCGTCTCTCCCTCCCATGCTGCACGTGCTGACGCCGAGGTCAAAAGGAAGATCCGCTCACCACCAAGTCTTAGGAAGGACCATGGGCTGAAGGCTGGACTCTGTTTCTTTTTTTTTCAAATAGACTCTCATTGATTCAGAGAGGAAGGGAGAGGGAGAGGGAGACGGAAGCATCAATGAGAGCGAATCATTGACCGGCTGCCTCCTGCACACCCCCTACTGGGATGGAGCCCGCAACCCGGGCCTGTGCCCTTGACCAAAATCGAACCCGGACCTGTCAGTCTGCAGACCCACACGCTATCCACTGAGCCAAACTGGCGAGGGTTTTGTTTGTTTTTTCTCTTTTAATAACAGTTTTACTGAAATATAAATTAACGCACCACATGACTCAGCCATTGAAGTTGTACAATTCAATGAGTCTTGGTATGTTATTATTTTTTAAAACTACGGTAACTATATATAACAAAATTTACTACTTTAACCATCCGTTCGAAATTTTAAAATTATCTTTTAATCTTTCTTGTTGAAAGGGTTACAGTGTCCCCTTCCCCCACTGACCCCTTATAGCTGCCCCCATAGCCCTACTGCCTGGCCCCATGGGCTTTTGTGCACACAAGGTCTGGGGTTGATCTCTCCCCACCCACCCTCCTCCGCCCTCTCGCTGCCGTTCCGCAGTCCGTTCGCTGCATCCATGTCTCTGGATCTACTTTTGTTCATCAGTTTATGTTGTTCATTAGATTCCACATGTGAGTGAGATCCTGGGACACTTGTCTCTCTCTCACTGGCTTATTTCACTCAGCACCATGCTCCCCAGGTCCCTGCAGGCTGCCCCCAAGGGTAAGGGATCCTCCTCTTCGCAGCTGCATAGCATTCCATGGTGTGACTGTCCCACAGCCCTTAACCACGCGTCTGCTGACGGGCACTCAGCTGTTTCCAGATCTCAGCCCTTGTAAATGGTGCTGCGATGAGCATGGGGCGCACATGTTCGTTCTGATGGGGTTTCAGATTCCAGGATATCGTCCCAGAAGGGGGATCGCTGGGTCGGAGGGCAATGCCACATTCCATTTTCTGAGGAAACGCCGTGCTGTTTCCCAGTGGCTGGCAGCCTGCGTCCCCCCCAGCAGCGCACGGCACGAGGGTCCCCTTCTCCCCGCATCCTCACTGAAGGCTGGGCTCTTCTCCACAAAACCACCAGCAACGCACACAGACGGGGTCCGAGCCGCCGGTCAAAGAGCCCCGCCCCTGCCTGACCGA